GACACTCGATGGTTCTTTCTTGTGAAGGATGTACACAGACATTTCGTATGCAAGAATTTCCCTTTCAATCAATAAGTTAATTACTTTTACATTTTGTATATATCATAATGCCATGTGGGAACTGAAGTTAATATCAATTTGAGGTGGATTTTTTTCGTGTGTGATTAATTCCATGGGCAGCTAATTGCCCTATAAACAATTCGGAAGTTGAGTTACCTAATATTGATCGATTCATCCACTGATTTTGTGTTACTATGCACGAAAATTTTGGTGCTATTTTTCCTTTATGAAGCATGATTGTGTCCATGATTATTGATATTTTATTTCTCGGGTCAGTTGTCTTGTTTTGGTTAGACTGGTGTTCGCCCTTTTAAAACGATAGTATATGTTTTTTGGCTCATTTGTTTGATTAAACTAATGAATATGGTGGTTGATCATTGAATTCACTTCATCTGGGCTCAAGCATAATGTTCTGGTTGTTAATTACATCCCATTTTGCTAAGGCATTGTGAGTGAATGAGCAATTTTTATATAGACTAATTTGCGAAGTAATCCTAATAACTACATTTTACATTTTTCTTCCATAATACTTATCCATAATCATAGACTTACAATAATCTTGAAATAATTTGAGGCGTGCCATGCCAAATAAAATCCCAAAACTCATGGCCCTCACTTAATTAATTTTAACTCTTTAGAAATCGAGGTGTGCCATTAGTTGAATTTTCCATGGCCCTCGCAAAATTGAAAGTGCGTAGTTGCTTTAGGCGCGCTATTTAAATTAATTTCCTTAAACTCGGGTGTGCATTTCATGTGACCCAAATCCAAATCTCAACAACGTTAAATAAAATGTGTCATGGACCGCGGGTGCATTTCATGTGGCGTGGTTCAAAAACGTGTTTTAGATAACATTGAATCTTTCTAAAATTAATTAAAAGTGATTAAGAATTTAAAATTATACCATAGGCTAAAACATATTTTAAAATCAGATAATAAGCTAATTATGATAGTTTAAGCGACCGTGCTAGAACCACGGAATCCGAGGGTGCCTAACACCTTCCCTCGGGTTAACAGAATTCCTTATTCAGAATTTCTGGTTCGCAGACTTCAAAAGGAAAGTCGAATTTTCCTCGATTTGGGATTTTAAAAATAAACCGGTGACTTGGGATACCAGAAAACAAACTATCCCAAGTGGCGACTCTGAATAAAAATAAATAAATAATCCAATTTCAAATAATGTCACTTAAAGTGGGAAAACTCTCTTGTACTACCTTCGGATGTGTAAAAGGAGGTGTGACAAACACTACAAAAAAATAGCATTTAGCGATGGCCGCATTCCATCACTAAATCAATGTTTTTCGTCGCTACAGTTGTTTAGCGACGGATTCAAGTTTGTCCCTAAAATGCTCGTAGCTAGGCTCATAGCAACGAAAAATACCAAACCGTCGCAGAATTAACGACGGAATATATCTATAGCAGAGTTTTGTGAGGGAAATTACCGTCACTATATTGCTTGTTTCTGTCGCTATTTTGACACCTTTCGTCGCTGCAATACATGACAAAATTCGTCGTTTGTTCTTACAACGATGAAATCGTCCGTCGCTAGACGTGTTATAGCTAATTCTCCTTGCTTTTTGCAACAAAAACCTTTTGTCGCCAATTCCTCGCAAGATTTAATTTTACACGATAATTTTAGCTACGGAAAGTATCCGTCGCTAATTTATTTTTAATATATTGCTAATTTTTTAAAATTCTTTTTATTTATTATTTTAAATGTACTCTGTTCAAGCATATTACATAAAAACTATTAAATACACTTAATAAAAAGTCATTGATATTAATATAAATTAATAATATATTCAACAAGGTCCAAAATATATAGCATAATGCATATAACAGTATCGTTAAGTACAAAAAATTCACAAGGACCAACAATAAAGTCCAAACAAAGTAGGCTAACTATGCGAGGCTGGAGAGTTACGTTCATCATCAGAACTCAATGCATGAACCTCATCAATGTTAGCAGCAGTAGAAGATGTAGAAACTGTAGATTCCACATCTAATGGGTGGTTGGTATGATCAGTATTTGGTTGATGCGAGGGTAAGGAAACTAATTCGCGTACCCGCTCAATGAGTATAGGAACTATATGATCTGTCAGTGCAGGATCAATCGCATCACTAACTCATCCAGATTCCTTGTCGGTGTTGATTGAGCATTTGGAGGTGTTGCTGACGATGTAGCATCAGATCCAAAAGAGCCATAAAGATATGGCCCGTAGTAGCATTTTACTTGAGATCCAAGACCATATACTCTTCTTTTCTTTTCTCCTCTCGCGGCTCGATAATATGTTTTACACTGATCAATATCAGATTGAGTTTGTGTTTGTTGTTATAACATCTCCTGATATTTTTACTGTAGAAGAGTAAATAATTAGTGAAATAAAAAAAAACTAAATAATATTGAGCATTCAATTTACAAAATGAAAAAAAAATATAAAAGTAAAGTCAATAAAATTATTTAAAAGTTATCTTACGTGTACAATTCGGGATTTCTCGCTAACAAAAGTTTTTCCATCATTATCATGTGTATAGACGTGCAAATGCAACTTACTTGGTGTTGGATCTCAACCCTTTTTAACATCCTATGCAAAAGTCATTTAATTAAGAAGATAGAGCAACAAAAGCAAATGCTCAAAACTGATATGCATACCGCTGAAACACCAAGAAAACTGCTCAATCTCTGTCAAAGCTTTGCCTTCAATATCCTGATCTGAGCATTGGTAAGTTCTTCATATTATTTAAAAGATTAATGACTTCTACAGCCTGCTACTTATCCCACTTTTCCCCCTTTCTGTTTACAAGATTTTCCAATAAAATTCTGCCTATTTCTTTTGACATGAAGGAGGTTATCGAGGATCAAGAAAAGGACCTCTTATAATTAGATTTGAAGGAAAGGTAAGAATTTTTATAGGAGATCTCACTTGGTTTTTCAAGCATTATATTTCATTATCAAGTTCAGTAGCATTTTTTGTGTTACTGTAGGATCTGACAAGAATAGAAGCAGCTTCTCAATCATTGTGCCAGAATTTTCACTCTGGTGCATTCTCTCAAATTGACTGAACATGGTCTGCATGGACTTCCAGTCTCCTGAAGGCGATCCGTGGAACTGCCAATGGGAAAAGGTTCTAAATTCCATGTACAATTGAGGAGAATGGACATGACAAAGAAAGCAGGAGCGACATTTAAATATTTAGTACAATATTGTGTTTATTGGAGTAATCACCATATCAAGACACAGTTAGAAGCACATCTTTTTTCTGGAAAGTGGTAGCAACAAAAGAGTAAAGAAGAATACAAATCGGATCAGAACAGAACACAACTGATATGCATTTAGAAAAGCAGTACTTAGAGATCAGGCAAGCAGCTTTGCAAGCACATTCCAGTAGAACTCTTACAATAACAATAACAAGCACCAAACAACATACCATCCCAGCACTTTTAGTAGTACAATATCAATCTAGTACTGAAGCACAAGTCCTATGCACAATTTGGCCAGAACAGAATTTTCAACAAGTGGTTAAAGTTCTCATGACTCGAAGAGAACACGAAATGTATATGCATATTAGGAGAGAGCTTCTATCGTGATTTTAAAATTTGTTAGTTTCTCCTTCAGAACTTCCAAATTGGTTTATATTTCTAGCTACTCATGTCACTCATCATTTTTCAAATGCTATAATTCCTAGCACAAACCAATCAAGCTTCGATTGAATGTCTTTTCCAACTGGCAAACCAACTCCAACAAAATATGTAACTGCATAATAACAGATCAAGAAAAGAAGAAGTATAATAAAGGATGATACTCCTAAATCTGGCAAGTGAAGGAATGGAAGTATGTTTACCAATTAATGAACAAGCCGACATAAAAAATTACTCAAAGATCATTAGACTCTTTACTTAAAAAAACTCATGTGACTGACTGCAAAAAGCACAAGTCCTATGCTACTCATGGCCTAAGTTGTTCGTCCAAGCAGGTGCTAAGTTACAAATAACTTAATTACTAGCTCTCAAGGACATGAAGCCTAAAAGAGAATGTAAGAAGGACAGCATGCAACTGGAGCACCAGTTTAAGCAAAACCAATATAGACTACTTCTCCAAAGGAACTTAGGCTACCTAAATCATGAATCATTATAATACATAACTAGCATCTCAACAGAATCCACAGTTTTGCAAGGAATCAAGTCACATGCAATCATTCAACAATTTACAAAAACGTCAGTTAACATTCGGCACACATTGACAACCCAATTTTTTCGAAAAGAAATTCTCAAACAATAATTTCAAGAATAGTATATTAAAAATAGAACAAGAGACAATCCACAACTCATAACTTACCGAACTTAAATAAGATCAGATTTGAATTAGTGCAAACTTAAATGAGATTTTTAGATATTTTATATCCACTTACAATTCTCTTGCGATGCTCCCCAACATTGATAGAGCCACCTGTGTGAGTCCCAGTGGCAACTCAATCCCAACTCACAAATTTGGTTCAAGATTTCCTCTCCTATTCTAAGGGTGGTGGTAGCCTTCTAACAGTCTGACCTTCACGAAAGTTTTTACGATCTCTCCTAAATGGATGATTTTGGTCAAGAAACATTTTATGACTATCAAACCAAGTTGTTTCCCCACCATAACATAATCTAAAGGTCAATTCCTTATTAAAGGTTGCAGATAAACATTAATATTTTGTTTAGGGTTGTTTGGCCTAATGACAGTTAAGAACATGTACGCATCTTTCATACACATCCCTGGAGGCAAATTATATGGAGTGACAATCACTGGCCATGAAGAGTATCTCCTCCTTGAATGGCCAAAGGGCTGAAAACCATCAGTACATAATCCCAACCTCACATTTCTTGGTTCAGCAGCAAAAAAGATGTCACGACCCAAAATTCACTAGTCGTGATGGCACCTGACACAACCTGTTAGGTAAGCCAACTAATAACTAACCAATTCCATTAAAGTCAACCAAACAATTAAATAGAGAAGTTAACTAAATTTTATACATTTCCCAAGGACTGGTAGTACAAATCATGAGCTTCTAAAATTAGAGTTTACAAAGCTGATATGAAGAAAACACATCTTCTGTTTGAAAAGCACATAAATAGAATTTTATGTGAACAAGAGGCAGCTATAGCAGGAACGCGGGTACGCCTTCAAATCCAGCAACTATCGAACGTAGCAACATCGGCATCCGGGATCTGCACACACTGTGCAGGAAGTGCAGTATGAGTACAACCGATCCCATATACTTAAAAAGTAACAAACCTAACCTTAGATTGAAAGCAGTGACGAACTGGAACATAGGTCGGGTCCAACACCAATATCCAATAACAGTTCATAACAATGTAAAGCATATAAATAAGGAAGTAACTCAAAGATAAAGTGTTCAGCTTTTTCATAGTTTTCCCAAAATAGTTTCGCCTTTCAAGAGTATCAATGAAAACTCAAATTCTTTACCGAAAACGTCGTGAAATATGAGATAGTTTAAAAAACTATATTTTCTTTTCCAAAACCCCTTTTCATAATAAATAAGATGTTTCATTTTCTTTCCAAATAGCAAGTGTGAGATACCTCTCTATGACCACATATCAATGTGTGAAAAATGTCATGAATAACGGGATACCGTACAACATGAGGAAAATGTATCTCTATGCATGTATGTCATATATGCCAATGTCATGTATCTCATAGATGAATCATGTACGCATACTCTCAGAGTACTCAACCTCTCTATATAACACCTTTCACTCATCATAATCAACCACTCGGTACTGTATATGGCCCATATGGCCCAGGAAAGATCCATCTTGGAATATGTACATCACTGACTATAAGTCACCCAGTACCGAGGAAACATGCTAATCCAGCCTCATGCAGAAGATCCATCTCCATACCAAGGGAAGATGCATCCCTGAATGTAATCAAGTACTTTGGACAAATCCATGTCCTGAAAAATCTATCCCTCAATAATATCATCCGCGCTCACTAGGGGTGTGTAGACTCTGGAGGGGCTCCTTCAGCCCAAGCGTTATAACAAGCCAACTAAGGCATAATCAATAATCTGCTGCAACGTGCAGCCCGATCCCATAACTATCACTCATAATCAGGCTCTCGGCCTCACTTAGTTATCAATCTCTCCAGTCTCACCCACGGGCTCACAATATCATGAAAACTGGCCCAGAACAATGATATGATGTATTAGTAAATAACAACTGAGACTGAGATGATATGAATGCATGAATGTGACTGAGTATGAAATATCAATGGATTCAATAAGATGAAAGCAAGAAATGACCACTATGGGTCCCAACATTATCAGCATAAATCCTAAACATGATATCTAGCATGATGTACAGCTCATTTATCTTATCACATGGTGAAAACACAGTTATCAATAAAATAGGGTCACTATTCAATGCCCTGGAAACAACAGTCACAACTAACAGGGTGCACGCCTACACGCCTGTTACCTAGCATGTGCATCACCTCAAAACCAATCACATAGCACATAATTTGGTGTTTTATACCTCAGCACTAAGTTTAGAAGAGTTATTTATCTTAAACAAGCCAATTTCCATATCGAGCAAGCCAAACGATGCTCCAAAAATCCCATCACGCACATTCCGACCTTCGAATAGCTCGAAACTAATCAAAAACAACTCAAATACATCAAACAATGCTAAAGGAAGCAATCCCAATCGAAAAAGGTCGAATCTTTAATCAAAAGCCCAAAATCGGCCAAAAAGCCCAACCCAGGCCCGTATCTCGCAACCTGACAAAACTCACAAAATCCGTCAACCCATTCAATTACGAGTTCAACCATACTAGTTTCACTCAAATCCGACTCTGAATCGATGTTCAAAACTCAAAAATTCATATTATGAAACTTTAGGCCAAACCCCCCAATTTCTTCTTTAAAATTCATCAACCTAAGGCTAAAATCGAAGATAGATTCATGAAATATAACAAAAATCGAGTAGAGAACATTTACCCCAATTCATATGCTGAAACCCACCTTGAAAAATTGACCCAATTCCGAGCTCCCCAACTCAAAATATGTTAAATGCACAAAACCCTCGTTTTAACAATGTTCTGCAGTTTCTTGTGCTAAAAGTTCTCGAAACTCACTTTTGATACCTCCAATGGATTTTTTGTGAAATTCTAGTCAAGTTAGACTCTTGAATCACTCCATTTGACCTTATACTGAAGGAGATATGTTGCTTTCAATATTTGGAAATAGTGCAGATTTTTAAATACGCAACAATGGCAATTTCGTAATTAATCTGAAAAATCTAGCAACCCAAAATTTAGTGAAATGATCATAAAATCCTCATACGATGTCCAAATTTGACGATTCTTTTTGCTATGGCTCCGTAATTATGATACGGATCTAATTCTTCAATAAAAGTAGAAATCGGAGCTTATTTGTTTAATGTGGTACTATTTATACTTGAAGAAACGACGTCGAAACATAAGAAAAACGAGCGCAACACAACCCAAACCTATCTGAAACTCACCTGAGCCCCTTGGGACCAAACATGCCAAAAAGTTCCATACCATAATACGGATCTACTCGAGGCCTCAAAACACACATAACAACATCGAACGACGAAATGCACCTCAAATCAAACTTAATGAACTTTCGACTTCCAAAAACTCACGCTGAAACATATCAAATCAACTCGAAATGAATCCAAATTTTTTCACACAAGTCCTAATACTTCATATGGAGCTACTCGTGCCCCTAAACTACCGAGCGAAGTGCAAATACTCAAAATGACCATTCGGGTCATTACAAAAGGGATGAGTCTCGATGAAGTGCTTCCAAGCCTTAGAGTCTGATGGATGACGCATTACGCCCTCCTCTTGTATGTGCGCATGATGCCATCTCATATCAACGGTTGTAGCATGAGATACATATAATCTCCGCAATCTAGCAATCAAGGAAAATAATACATTTTTTTGTAAGGGATTAATTTCCTCTTACGAAAACTGACACGACTTTTGTACCTCTGATGGCCGCAAAACTTGCAAGATGTGAGGTCCTTATCTTCACCCCAATACAACATACATCCAGACAACAATCAATCTTTTCAACTAGCAAACCTAAGCTACACACTAGCTTCTTGGTCTCATAATAGTTATCAAGCATTGTGTTATCTTCTGGTAAAGCCTCTTTCAACAATTGCATCATTTGGTTATAACCTCTTTGTGATAAAGTTTTCTCCATTTTAATATTTAGCATCCTGGAAACTACTGCGAGTTAAGAGAGGGAAGAACCAGGGTATAATTTTGCATCAGCGGCCTGTAGCAAATCATAAAACCTTTGGCACTCAAGATTTGGCTCCTCCTCCATTGAAGGATTAGGCTCCGCCTCCATTGAAGGTTCATAAGAATGAGACGACTCAGGTTCAGTATTATTATAAGACTGCCAGCTCAAACCATGGCCAAAATTGGGTCCAGCTACATCCAAGACCATTTGTCGATATGGATTCTCATATCCCGATACAGGTTGAGCACCACCATGCAAATCACCACTAGAAGACATCTCGTCGGTCACATTTTTTTCTCCTTGATACTTCCAAAGAAAATAGTTCTCAACAAATCCATACTGATAAAGGTGCAATTTAACAGTTTCAACATCCATGTATTTAATGTTGTGATATTTCTTACATGGACATTTAACATTGTCACCACTCATGCGATTGCGCTGAGAACAAGCAAACTGGAGAAACTTGTTCACACCAGTTATGAAACTTGAATTAATATCTCCCCCCCCCCCGGCCATCCAACCTTTTGTACATCCAATCACGCTCTAGATTGTCCATGTTCCTATTTAATATTAGAATAAACAAGACCTTAGAGTTCTTTATTTAATAAAACATCAGAATGCTTTCTAAAATGAATAACAAGTTGACATCATAATAAGCCGAGAATTACTAACACCCCAATTTTGGAATGAAAACAGATCTTGGAAGGCTCAGTTCCTTTCTTTGACCAAGATAAGAACTTTAAAGACAAATGAAATGCTATATATTAAGGATTACATAAGTCGAAAATGATTAGATAACGTAACTAACTAGAGAAAAGAGGGGGGAGGGGGGGACATAACTAAAGGGCGTTGCTACTATATGCAATTAAGTGAATAATGTGTGTATTTACAACTAACATTCTATGTGATCTATATGCGTTGTTGGCTAAATTAATATGCTTTATCTGTTGGCAATGGAAAAATTATGAGATTTCTGTTGTGAAGTTGTATAATGCATAAAATTGTTCTATTTCAATAATTAACTATTGGGCAAACTTCATCAAGTTGTACAAGAAGGCATAGAAGTTACTATCTGATATTGCTATAGGTAACTAATAGCCTAGTAAATTTCTGTATTACATTCTGTTTTCAATTTTCATGTCCTAAAATTCATAGTGTTAGTTGTGGCATCAACATCCATATGACCACCTCTCCTCTACACTCTAGCAAACTTCAATGATATTAGACCATGGATGATAAGTGTACCTATATTATGTCCTAGAGATTAGATTAGTGGAACATAAGATGTATACACACCCAGAGATCCAGACATTCATATGTACTCACATAGAAGAAAATCAGACCCAAGTAATAGGGATTAAAGAGTGAAATTCAAGTTATTATGCAATTAAGGTAGACAGAAAACCTACTTAGTATTCCACGTGAACAATGATTGTAAATCTGCTGATATGTTCAAGGTCAAACTGATCTGCTTGCAAGGAAAAGTATACATGATATAGTCAAACCTCTTTGAAAAATTAAGAAGTTCATAGAACCACTTAATTAACGATGTTAACTAGGAAGCTTAACATAGCTAACAATTTCATGTAGATCAACAAGATAAAGAAAATAAACTGATACCTTAGGATACATACAATTTTTTTATTAAACCTTATAATACATACAATACCATATGCTAGCCTGTTTATCCAAAAAAATACAGGCTCCAATAATTGTTATGAAAAAAGTACCCTCCAATTTCAAGGCTCCTTACCCTAAAAAAAGGGTGATGCCCATCTCATCAAGATTCACTAAAATAAAAATGGAGTTGCAATATATATAACAGGTTTTGTACTTTTAATATGATCCTTTTTTCCATATATGTAAGGAGATAAAATGTAAAAACATCTGGATGAACATAATAGAAAAATACAAAATTTTCTTAAACTTAGTTCTACAAATTAGCAACAGCAACATAAAGTCTTCCCCTTTTTCTTTTTCCATCCCCGAGTGAATTAACGTTGTCCTCTTTGTCCAAAATATATTTTTAAAAAATAAAGCAGTCAAGGTTTAGACATTTTCTAAATTCTAAATCTTGATTGGCGCTCGTCAAACTTGAAACCTTCTAAGAAACCAGAATTCCAAATTTCCTCTTACAAAAGTAAAATTCAACATAAATTTAATGTCAAAATACTATTTTGTATTGTATTATTTGGAGCGTGTGTTAGCAAGATTTAGAAGAAGGTTCCATATTTATTATCAGCATCCTCAGATGTGGACTCGGTCCCTTGCCAAAATTCACAAATGCTGAACTGAAATTCCAAATCCAAGTACCCAAGATCCTCTTTAGGCCCCATCACTATTTGACCCACAAAAAGCTTTCTACTGTTTGGTTTTTTCATATTGTTGGATTTTAGGTGATTATGTGAAAATGGGTTCATCAGAAATGGGAAAAGATTCAAGTTTTACTTCAGGAATGAAATCACAAAGAAGCTTACCCTTTCGCCTGAGAATCTTGCAGAGCAGCAACACACGACTTCGAATTTCAGAGTTCTGCAGCAAAAATCTTGCAATTTCGAAAGTTTTCTTCTATTTTTCAGACATTAACCCTAGATTCACGCCCAATTTTTTGTATTGAAGTAAAAAAACTCACATTGTTAAAGAGCATTGAGAGTGGGAGTCTATCAGAGAAAGTGGGCGTGTTGCCCTAATTGTATTGAGAGTGGAGTCTGATAGAGAGGAGTGGGTGTGTTGTCCTAATTTTATTTTGTAGGACAAAATTTTAGCGACGGAATTGGCAACGGATCAAATTTCTATCGCTAATAATAACTAATAAAATAACAAATAAAATTTTATTTTAATGGACTAGATTTTAGCAACGAAAATAGCGACGAACCTAATTTCTATCGCTAATAATATCTAATAAAATTTTATTTTAAGAAAACTAGCGACGAAAAATTTTGTCGCAATCAACTTTGGAATGTCTTGATAAGTAAAAGACCGCAACGACGGATATTTTGACGTTAAATCTGTCGCTAGGTTTTAATAATTTTTGTTGCCCCACTTTCATCGCTAATTTTGTAGGTAAAATAAAAGCACTAAGATTTGGCGCCAATTTTAGCGATGGATATAAGTTTTTGTCGCTATTTCGTTGTTATATTTTATACGAATTCTTTTTGCAACTTATTTGGCGAAAAACTACAAAATGCGTTGCTAATCCATCGTTACGGAGTATCTCTTGTCGCTAAATTCCGTCGCTAAACGCTATTTTTTTGTAGTGAAATCTTCGAACGACAAGGAATCAAAGAAGTGTAGCTTTTCCTAACAGTTCCATAGCCTCCCAAAGATAACTACAGACGTCTCTGTACCGATCCGCGAGACCCTAATAAACCGGCTTGTGACTCCCGATACCTATGAACATAGAGCTCTGATACCAACTTGTCACGACCCAATTTCCCCTCCGTATAACATCGTGACGGCACCTAGTGTCTATAACTAGGTAAGCCTAGCATTTGCGGAATAATGAAATGATAACATAAGTTTAACAACTAACTGCAACATAACTGAATACCTTGCCGCTTGGCATGTACAATAACTAACTACTCAATAATACACAGTATGTCCAAAACCCGAAACATCATGAGTCACAAACTATAGAAAGGTAATAGTATCTCTATACTCCGGAGTCTACCAAAAGGAAATACAGGAAATGTTTTACATGGGGAAGAGTAGAAAGGGACTCCGAGGTCTGCGGACACGGATAATATACCTTGAAGTCTCCAAAGCTGCCTCGACTCACTGATAATGCAGCTGATAAGTGTTGATACCCAATGTTTTCCTATATATTTTCAGTATACCAAAATACCTTCAAAATAGCATATGTATGCATATATAAGCATGTCCAAGGGTTTTATTATTTTTTCATAATTTTAAAGGTTTTAAATTGATTTATTGTCTCCCTTTTTATCCATAAAATCCCCAATAATTATTTCCAAAATTATGGTTTTTCAACTATTGTATTTCTATATTTATGCCAAAATATGGCTAAGAAATTTTTTATATATTTTTACAATTTTATTTAATATTTTAAAGCTAAATTGCACATAATTGCAATATTAGCCATTTTAAGGTTTAATTATGCTTTATACGCATAAAATTGGATCCTATATTTTTAAATTATTAATTATGTGTTATAAATCATATTAGACCTTTAAATTAGTTTTTAGAAACTATTTACTATTTTTTTATAATTTAAATAAGGAAACAATGGCTATTTAAATATAGCCAAATTTGGCTTTTAGTTATAGCCAAATCAAGACCCCAATTTCCAGCCCAATTAAAACCCATCGGATCCAAGTCCAAACTCGATTTTATAACCCGGCCCCAAACCTTTCAATCCTGGTCGTTGATCACAGAGATCAATGGCCACTGTTCACTCTTACCATAATTAATCCCAAACGACCCCCCAAACCCTCTCATTCTTACCAATCTACCGCCCTTGAATCCAATTTCCTCTCTAATTCTCTCTAAAACCTAACTCAAACCCTAGCTGCTGCCACCTAAAACTAACCCTAATCTCTTCGATCCTCACTCAATCCATGGACTCCCATGGTTGTTTGAGACGTATACTTGTCTCTTACGTCTCATGGTTGCCCGTTTTTGTGATTTCGTGGAAAGATCTCGAAGAGATCTAGTCCATATTTTGTTCAACTTCTATCCATGGTCTTTTATGCTACTTTCCGGCCATCCATGGTTGTTCGAGTAAGGTCCATGGCTTTTCCAGCTGAAACCGGTAACGATCTAATATTTTCTCACCTTCTTTGGGTTCTCTTAAACCCTCACTCTTGATACTTTTTTACTTTTTCTTTAGATATAAGTGTATCCATGAATTTTTAACCGATTTTTTCTTCGTCTCTGCTATTTTTCTGAAAGCCTGGCTATAAATCTTCCGATCTTTTTAGATCTGTGATGGATCTATGGGGTTTTAAGGTTTTCACCTGTTTTCCTCAAAATATTTCTCCGATTTCAAAACGATTTCTTCATTTTCCAGACTAGGGTTTCAAAACCCTTTTTCCAAAAAACGATTTTTTCTCATATTAGCAATTACTTTGATTTTTATCATGTTTAAACATCACCTGAGTCTTTCCTTTTTTCTCAATTCATTGTTGTTAAGAAACCCTAATACTTATGGGTTCGATTCGAAGTTTGAATCTGTTTGCGATGTGTTTGCATGACTATCATGAACGTTCTAGGCTTTATGTGTGTTCTATATGCTCTTGTGCTTCCTGTTCTAATTTGTTCTTAAGGTTTCTTTGATTTTGTCCAAACCGTGTTATTAATCGTTTAATAAGTCCGACTATTTGTTTTATTAATCGTTCACATAATTTATATTGATTTTGTGTAATCTCCTTAAACCTTCATCTTTGATTTTGTATATTTTCCTTGTAATTCTGTACTAATTTTTCGAAATTGCTTCCTTACTTTTGTGATACTTTCCTTAGTTAGTACTGATTCCCTATAATTTTCAATCTCAATTCTTTGAGCTAATTTTCAGAATCAAATTGTACTCTACCTTGTTTATGTGCACAAATATGTTGTTAACTAACGTGCACTTTCATTATGTTGAAACTATTCTGTACTTAGACCTTATTACATGCAACATGCTTTTACTATTCCTATTATGGTAAAATCAGTCTTACAAGCAATTCTTTTCCTTATTTGATACAACTTGTACCCGTTTGAACTATGACTCCCTAATTGAAGGGAGTTCGGGTCTTTAATTGATTCTGATTTGTATTATTTCTATAATTATGCTAAGTTAGTACTTATTACCTTATTTTCCTGCATGTTCATAAAAACTATAACTACTCTACCTTCTCTTCTTTAAACACACGAACAATAGTTCAGAACACACACATATACACTCAAACTCTCTCTTCTTTCTCTACTACTTGAGCTACTGCTTTGTCTAGCCGACTGAAAGCCAAGGCTAGACTGTGGGACTCTAATTGCTTTGCTTTTTCTGCACTTTGCTTCCTTANATATGTCTTATTACAATTCTAATTTCAAGCATGATTCTCTTGTTAACTCTTTGAAGTAATTACTTGTGTTCTAAAGGCCAATCAGTCCATACTTGTTCCTTGCACTTGCTGGTCTATATGCATCTCTTCTCAGCCATGTTTGTGTTTTTTTTATTAGGTTTCTCTATGTCCCCAACCCCTTACTTCCTTGCCTGTGAATGCTGGAATGATATTGTTCTTTGGATTTGTTCTGTGTGTGTTGTCTTGTTCCAAGTTATTATTGCTCCTTTTCCCTTCTCCTTTTCAAAAACTGTTCTGTTTTCTTTTGCAAACTCACTTCAAACATAACTATTTTCAAAATTGTTTTCCAACTCAACTCCTTTAAATCTATGTCAAGCACTCTCACATACACTCTTAGGCCACTAGGTTCTACCCCTTTTGTGTGAGCCTTGCTTTGGGATCCTTGAGCTCCCTCTGAACCTAGACACATAAAAGATGGCCTTTCCACACTGAACTCACTCTGTTTTGGTTATGAAATCTGGGTGTGAGCACTACCCGGGATCCCTTGAGGTCCTTAGGGAACTCTTACACACCTAGATATGAGAAGGGCTATGGAATAACATTGGCACTTGAGGTGATTTATTACATAACTTAGAGAGGAAATCCTAATCAGGCTTCATATAGTGTAACTTCTTGTTTTCATTATATAATTCATTTCAATGTTGGTCTGTAATAACTTGTTGTTAACAAGTATTGAGGTTGGCTAGTGAAAAGGGATGGGATAAATATGCATGCTATAGTCGTTAAGGGTATAAAACATGTTATTAGGTTTATGTTCCTAATTGCGCAATAGAAACCATGCTTAGAGCTCATGCATGCATTAGAAATCATGTCTTTAGGTCGCATGTTATTGTTTCAGCATGTGCACCCTTTCAAAATCATGTGTTAAAATCTGCTAATAATTAGCACTTTACTATTATCTACAATCCTGTCATATGCACTTAGAAATCCCGCTCTTAGGAAATTCTGTAATCCTGCCATGTGCATCTAGAAATCCTGCTCTAGGAATTCTGCGTCATAAATTTTATACATGCACCTTAGATACCATGTTTTAGGATCTTATTTGCACTTGCATTCACACTTAGTGTAAATTCTGATTATAAAAGAGGTAAAAACAGCTTCACACTTGATTATCTTGTTTAAAATAACTGGTAATAATCTCTGCATTTGACTAGAACAGCATGCTCTTAGGGTAAAATAATTTCCAAGTCGTCTCTCAATAATTCTAAATAACTACTGCATATTGCTTTACGCCTAGGCAAGCCTTAGGTGATAAATTAAATAAAGAACCGCCTTTGTTTAATTATCAACAGTTAAAATCAGTAGGCAAACCTGATTCGGACTTCTTTTCTTAGTCATGTAATAAATCTGGTTCTGATGTTATCACTTAGATACTATGCTTTAGAATTCAAATATGGACCTTAATTGCGTATGTGCCATGCTGTCTATGTGCATTATTTGTGGAGGTATATCTGCACCTTCTACTTATTTTTGTGGTTTCCCCTTTAAATGTAGTCCTACTTGTTTTGTATATCGCCTTAGTATTTTTCCTTTTTAAACCTAAGGGTCTGCCTAGAACCTACTTCTTATAGGATAGGAGTACTAAATTCCTCCGGGACTAATAGGAAAGGACGGGTAACAGCATGTAATAGGGGTCAATAACAACCC